AGAAAATTGGACATTGAATACGGAAGACTGAAGAAGAATTGATGTGTTTGAATTGTGGTGCTAGTAAAGAATATAGGAAGTACTGGGGATTGCCAAAAGGACAAACAAATCTGTCTTGGAAGAAATACAGCCATAATGCTCCTTAGAGGCAAGAATGATAAGACTTCATCCTAGATACTTAGGACATGTTGTCAGGAGAAAGCAGTCCTGGAGAAGGAAATGATGCTTGGTAAGGTAGAGGGGTAGTGAAAAAGAGAAAGGCCCTCAACCAGATGGATCGACACACGGGGTGCAACAATGGGCGCAAGCACAGGAACAACTGTGAGGATTGTGCAGGACTGGGCAGTGTTTTGTTTGGTTGTTCTGGTCACTATGAGTAAGAAGCAGTTCGATGGCACCAAACAAAAACAACAAGGGAAATGAGCTAAACTACTAGAAAATTAAAAGCAAATTATTTGAGAGCTTCTTCAAAGAGAAGTCAACAGGACTATGTTATGACTATGGTTCTAGGACTTAAAGAATGAAGAGAGGGGAATGATAAAATAAACCATAATCCTCTAAAAGATACCCACTTTCTAATCCCTGGAACCTGAGAATGTTACCTCATATAGCAAAAAAGTTACAGAAGTTATTAAAGATCTTAAAATGGGGAGATTATACTAGATCCTCTGCATGAGCCCTAAATGAACACGCATCCTTCTAAGAGGAAGACAGGAGACTTGACAAAGACAGAAGAGGAGGAAGGATGCAGCTACAAGCCAAAGAATACACATAGTCACCGGAAATTAGAAGAGGCAAGTAGATTCTTCCCCGGAACCGGTGAAGGGGAGTGTGGCCCTGCCCAACTCTTACTTTTAGCCCAGTTTCATTGGTTTCAGGCTTATGGGCCCCAGAATTTTGAAAATAATAAATTTCTGCTGCTTTAAGCCAATTTGTTATAGCATCTATAGGAAACTAATACATGCAGCTGGAGGCCTTGCTATATTGGGAAAGTGGGGATGTCACCAACAAAAAACATAAAGCAAGAATGGGGATGGGGAGAAATTCTATTTTGACCAGAATGAGTTTGAAAT